CGTATAGTTTCAATTTATTTTTGAAGGCAGGTGTTCCTTTGGACTAGTGTACGTAGTGAACGAGGGCGGTAGTTGATCTTCTGTTAAGCTAAAGAGGCTTTCAAAGCAATATATAAATTTCTTCTGAGACCGATGCAACGATACCCGCAGATGAAAGACGAAGGCTAAGAATATCCGCACAGTCAGATATGTTGAGTGAACTCTTCATGAAGAATTACAGATTGCTTACTCGCATAAATTGACTTCTCTAATACTACTTTAAGAGGCAATTCTTGTCAAGATATTGATCCATGTTCCTCAAGCACATAGCTAACTGAGATGCTCTTCGTTTTTCTAGGTTTTGCAAATCACAGTCTATTCGACTATCACCTGAAGGAAACAAACTCTAGCAGACCTATGTTTCGTTATTTCTATTTAGATGACCATGATTGGTCTACACGCTGCCGACTTTCTTTTCAACGACAAAGACGATCATCTTGAAATATTCAGTCTTATCTGGCTTGACACAAACGTACATGACGAAAAGAATCGTGCTATTCAGCCAAAGCTACGTTCTATCATTAATCATATCAAGCAATTTCAAGATGAAGAAGAGTGTAAACAATACATAGAGCAAAGACCAAAACATGAACGACTAGTGCTAATCATTAGTGGTTATTTGGGTCGACAAGTAGTACCTTCTATTCATAAATTTCCACAAATATCAGCAATTTATATTACTTGTACAAATAAGAGAAGCGATGAGGAATGGGCATATGAGTTTGCCAAAGTAAAATTGTTCTGAAAAGTGTCATTCATATTGTTTTGCCAGTTTAGGTGAAAGCTATTGTTATTGAACCAGAAGAATTGTTTTTTCAAATCAAAGCAGATCATAAGAAGCAGATGGAAATGCAAGAACCATTGTCGATCAACTTGTTCGCCACTAATGGCGACGAGGGGAAGTCTACAACAGGAATCAATGGTCAATTTGCTTTTTCTCAATTACTGAATGATTGTCTTCTTCGATTAAAATCCAATGAGATGGACAAAATAGAACTCATTTCTTGTTTAGAAGATGAATACAAAGGTAACTGTTTTGAACTTGCCAATTTGTGTGAATTTCAAAACAATTACACACCCGACAAGGCTTTATGGTGGTATACTCGTGAGTCATTCTTCTATAAGACCCTGAATGCAGCTCTACGCAAGCAGAATATTCATATGATTTTCTTATATCGTTCATGTATTGTCGATATATATCATCAGTTGCAACAGAATCAATCTCAGAACTTTGTTCGAGCTTATCGAAGCCAGTTGATGTCAATCGAAGAGTTGGACAATCTTAAACGAAATATGGGTCAGTTCGTTTCTGTCAATTCGTTTCTATCCACCAGTAAACAATATCGAATAGCTGATTTCTATATTGGCGATAGAACCCAAAAGATCAATTTAGAGCGAGTTCTGTTCGAGATTGATGCTGATCCTAAGGTGGTCTCGACGAAACCATTTGCTGTCATCAGCAAATTTAGCGATTTTCCTGATGAATTTGAAGTCCTATTTATGCTTGGTTCCATTTTTCATTTGAAATCTATTAGTCGTGATGAAGATCAAGTGTGGAAAATCGAAATGTCCTTGTGTGGTGATAATGAACATAAGTTGAAGGAAGTTCTTGCAGATATGAAGAAGCAAAATGGTACTGGAGAAACAAACTTGTGGACACTGGGTAAATTGCTATGGACGATGGGCAAACTTGACCTCGCCGAATACTATTATAATCTTTTCCTACAAGGACTTCCATCGAATGATCCTTCACTTCGCAGCTTGTACGTCGATCTTGGTGTGATAGCTTCGCAGAAAGGTGACTATGACAAGAGTTTGCAATGGCACCAAAAATCATTGGAGATCAGACAGAAAAATTCACAATCTGACAATGTTACGGAAGGTAAGACAATCAGAACTATTTGTAGATTTCAATAAACGACAATCAATCGCTATTCATCATCTGTACAATAGAGAGCATAGGTAGATAAAGTAATTATGAGCAACCTATCTTGGTATAGCTCTATTATCAAGTTCAACAGAATAAATAATCCTTTTTGTATTTTCCAATATACACTTCTCAATTGACAGTTGACAGTTGACATAGTGTAAGATTGATATTTTTTTATGAAAAGATCTGCCGTTCAGTTCTCCATAATGAGTGATCTTATTTATAATCGTAAGTAAGGGCCATCAGTTTACGAAATTTGATACAACTGGTTCATTCAACAATAACAATATTCCAACTCAACGGATTCGCATTTTTTTTAAAAAGTCGATTTTAACTGTGGAATCAGTATAAGTATTTCAATTTGACTCTTTTCAGTCGATAGGCTGAATAAATTTGGCATAAATGGACTAATTCAGAAATCTCATATGTGCATGACTCACTAGTCAATAACATTTATTTTATAAGAGAACCAGACATTGGACCAGTACCAGTACAGTAAGTACCAGTACAAGTACGGTGTACTTAAAAATTGTACTTTGTACTTAGTACAATGTACTTAAGTACCGCGTACTTAGTAAATTGTACTTAAGTACATTGTACTTAAGTATATTGTACTTAAGTACAATGTACTTAAGTAAAAGTACAAGTCTCGCTTCGCTACATATTTTGCTACCGACAAAAATCACTTTCGTAATCAAATGACATCTGTATTAAAAAGAAGATGAAAGTTTACATGAGCATTATTAGACTTTTATATCTTTTGGTATCAAAATCAATATAATTTCCGGTTTTGTAACCTGTAATGAGTAATAGTAAATTGGTAAAAGAGATATCAGAAACACATCTACAATCTGTTTGGTTACAATGGATGCGGGTGTAGGTATGGATGCGTGTATTGTCTTCACACGCAGTACACCCACTCCCACAGCCACACCCGATCCACATCCACACTCACACCCACACCCGCACCCCACCCACATCCACACCCACACACCCATCCACACCCAAAGGACATGTGCACTGCACATTCGAGCATCGAAGAGATTGTGCTGACAACTTTTTTTTTAGGTTGAGCTTAGTTTAAGACTACTAAAATGTAAAGTAGATAGCTCTGAAAAGTAAAGATGCTATATATGGAAGTCTTTGTGGATTCGAGTTTAGATACTTTTTTCTCAAGTCTTTTTCAGTTCTAGCCAGTACGATGAGAACTGGAAAAATGTTACAAACATTTCCACTGCATTTTCTTTAGTTTTAATATGAATTCCGGCGGCTAAGAATGGTCCACGAAGCAATGGAAAAAACCATTCCTATAACACCTCTTCTTTTTACAGAGAAGAAACACTTATAATCGTATGAAACGAAAAAGTAATCAAAATGAGAAACCCACCAAGTAATGTTCTCGAAAAGGGTAGACAGAGAGCATCGGTACTAAGTACAAATGTACTTAGTACCGGTACTAAGTACAATTGTACTGTAGTACGGTGTACTTAGTACATTGTACTTAAGTACATTGTACTTAAGTACATTGTACTTAAGTACAAGTACAAAGTACAATTTTTAAGTAAAAAGTACATGTACTTTTACTTCAAAATACGTACTGGTACTTAAGATTTCCGCGTACTAAGTACGAAAAGTACTAAGTATTGTACTAAGTATCCAATGTCTGAAGAGAACCAAAATTATTTCCATACAATTATCGCGTTAAATAATGTATGCTCTCTTTGACTATATTTTGTTAAAACAACCAAGCCTTTCGAAAGACTTTTTCTATGTTTCAAGGTTCTAGGAAGCATTAGTCATATACAGTGGCGTAGCCAGGAATTTTTGAGCCATGGGCAATTCATCAGCCGAACTATTTTGAGTTACGGGCGGCTAAGGGCAACCGTTATGATTTCAGAAATATCTATGGACAATAACCGTTCAAGCACTGCATAGCTCAATAAATCCATCGGCAATAACTTTTGGAGCTATGGGCAATTACCCATGGCCCTACTTCTGACTACGCCACTGGTCATATATAAAAGCTGCTCGATGGCTTTTTATTTCGAGAGCACCAACGGCATAATATGTTTAGAAAACATAAAGATAAAACGTCCGTTTCTAAGAAAACTTTCTTCTTTGCTTGCTATCATCACATAAATAGGTATTGAGTCAACTGTTTTGAGCATTGTACATGTCATTGATATCAAATGGTTTTTCATACGGAAAACGTAATTTTAAGACGTTTTCCTTCTTAGATCTCGTTGTTATACAATTAGCAACATTTTCTCGCTCTATCTTATGAGTATCTAGCACCCACACCCAAGATCATTTTCTTGCTAAGACGAAGTCCTAAGTTGCTTATTGAAATTCACTGAATACACCTTTCAGAAGTATCTAACTCAGTAGATAATGTTTGTATTGATACTTTATATTTGTTCTGCAGCTGATATTTTAATTTTTACATAGTTTCCTTCGTGACGTCAAAGCGCAGATAGTCGAGCGGTATTCACAACATGGAATCTTATCTGCTCGATGAATTATTTTATATCAGTTTTTCACTGCTACAAATGCAATACTAACATTTGCATTGAGAAATATTTTTCTTCAGCTATCCATGTTTTCATATTTTTAAAAGCACAATCTATACAATAGAGCATTACTTTAAATTTGAAAATAGGAACAAAATTTCGTACAGACTTGGATGATTAATGTATGGAAAACGGACAGTCTGATTTGATAAAACTTGAAAAAGACATCAACAAAAGAAAGTTAAATGCGTTCATTTTGGCGCATTGTAAAATATTATTTCCTGCATCTCTTCTACTTTAAAAGGTAGCCCTATTTGCTGTGCCCTAATGTGCTTACTAATATCTTCTTTCAAATGATGATGAGTGACGTAGACAAGAAAAATAACCGCAATATATAGTTTCGAACTGATTTGCGAGAGTTTTATGAACGATTGATCATAAGGATGCTTGGTTAAAAGTACACTCATTACAAAGAGTATTTGCTTCAAGCAATACAATTAATTAGTATTATTAATTAGAATATGTTTCTCATTTTAGAAAATATACCAGACTTCTTACAAATACCGAGCAACGATCTTAAACTTCATGAACAGATTGGTAATGGTGCATTCGGAACAGTCCATCGAGCTACATGGTTGATTGCACAGCATGTAGTTGCTGTTAAAAGTTTATATCTTACTCGTATGAATGATGTAGCCACAAAAGAATTTTTCAAAGAACTTTCCTTCATGGATCGCCTTCGTTCACCTCATATTGTTAATTTCTATGGTGCATGCGTAGAAACAGAGAAGTGTGCATTGATTATGGAATACATGTCATTGGGGTCGTTGTATAAAATGTTACATGAAGATAAATTAGTTTTAATATGGCCGCATAGACTGTCTATTGCCTTGCAAGCAGCAAAAGGAATCAATTATTTGCATCAATTGCAACCACCCATCTTACATCGTGACGTGAAGTCGGGAAACTTCTTGTTAGAAAGAGCATATGAAGGATATACTGTTAAAGTATGCGACTTTGGATTAGCTCGTACGCGAAGTGAAACTACACGCCAGACGCAATACAATCCTACGCTGGTTTGTACATTGCAATGGACAGCTCCTGAAATATTGCGTATGGGACGTCATACAGATAAAAGTGATATCTATAGCTTAGGAATAATTTTTTGGGAACTTGCTACATACGAAATACCTTATGATGATCACCAAAATTCCATTATTTATGAGTTCGTGATTCGTGGCGATCGTTTGGAAATACCAAGTAGCACACCATCAAATTTTCGAGCGCTCATCGAACAGTGTTGGGCACAACAGCCGAATGATCGACCTAACAGTTTTTATCTGACCGAAATGATCGATAAATGTATCCAAATACAAAGTAAGGTGCGCATAATCCAAAACTTCAGCAGATTTTATTTTTCGTTAA